TTTCGTTTGTGAAAAAAAAATTTCTTGAAATTTGAACAAAATCGGTGGAAACTGTTCAAACGCATTTTCATTCCATTATTTTTGTGTTAAAGAAAACACTTTAGAAAACAGAGAACTTTTTCGAAACTTGTTGGAAAAAGTAAACAAAGCTGCCAGTTCATTTGGTTGAGTATGGAAAAACTAGTTGTTTTTGGTGGATTGTTGTCGGTAGAACAGTTTGTGTTGTCTCTATTTGTTGATAGAGATTATTAATTTAAGCGAATAACGTAAACGAAATGCACACGAGAACTTTTGACCTATTGAGAGAAAACTATCGACAAAATGTTGTATAAAACTTTCATTTGAAAAACAACAAAAGACGAATTAAACTTTTACTATTGTTAACTAACTAACCATGGGTGAAAATAGACGAATTATTCTTCTAGGTTTTAGAATGAACATAGAAATCTACACTCTGAAATTGGAATTTGAATTAGATGCACATGCACACCAACACGGTGACTTGTCTTCCAATCAATGCTAATTATTATTCAATTGCGATGTTTCCGATCGAGTTGGATCGAAATATTGGCCGTGAAAAAGGAACAAAATTTTTATCTCCAACATTAATCCCTTCGACATTGAATGAAAAACACCGTGCATTTTCAGTTTGCTCTCATCAAAATATTATTATATTATATTTTCAGTTTGATCGATTGGTGGGACAGATCATGATTGCTCTGCTCCACAATATCAACTGCAGGGAAAAGTAATTTCGCATTGTATTTAAATGCGGAGTGGAATTGAAAATTCGATTTGTGTGGCCTCAACCATGCTCATTAACTCTTCAATTATTGTTAGAAATCAAAACAGTCTAGAATTTAATTGTTAAAACCAAGCTGACGACACTTCAGTACAAACATCATTTGAGCGCTCGCAGCGCCACGAACTCTCGTATCATTTTGTATTGACTTTTCGATAGTTCATGAGTTCGCCGTAGACTTCGTCAAAACGTGTCGTCCCTTTGGTTAAAACAGCTTTATTTTGTAATTGCAGAGCTCCATTTGTTTTTGACTTGATGCAAACAGTAAATCCCAATACCGTGTCATTTTCCAATGCAATTATCCAATTCAAGTATTTAAAACCCAAATCAACAACTGGATAGAACTTCAAGTTTCAAATTCTAAATTCATTTTTTTTAAATTATCTTTATTAAACGTTGTTGTTTTTGATCACCATAAATCTCTCCGTGATTTTGTTGTACAAAGTAATACAAAAATGATAAAATGTTAATGAAAATGCATTCTTTCTGTAGAAAATAATTTTATAATTAATTTTGTTTAATGATTCGATGCACACTCCACATATATGACCTCGTTCATGAAAGAAAGCGCTATTTGTTGAAAAATGGTGAAAGGATCATTATGAATTCATAAACTTCAGTCAGGTCAAACAAAATCGCGTCATAAATTATTTGTACGTTATTTGTACGGTGTACGCGCAGATTAAAAATCTTTTTTGCCATGTGTTTCGACCCAATTTTTTAAAGCGGCCGCATTTTGTGATTAGAATCGTGGACTATAGAAAAAAATTGAACATGAAATCGATATTTTGAAATCGGTGTATCAAAATCGTGAATAAATTATTATTATTTAGTAAGTAAATATCAATGTCGATGCAAGTCAAATGAATTTCCATACAAATTCAACTGCAAATCAGCAATGGAACTGTTCATTCAGCATGTAATACCATATTAAATTACATACGCATTTGATTAGAAGCAGTGTGTGCGAATTCACTTTATGTATCTATGCTTAATGAAAACATACCTTTTGCCAATTTCCCTGATGAGTTTTAATATTCGAAAGGACGAAATGAAGAGTGAGTTTGCAACAAAGGGGCCGTGTACAATATGAATCGAAGGGTTGTAACAGAGATATGATCGGCACATGAGCACCATCTCTACTGATTGCCATTATTGCCATGTAAATGAATAGAATGTCTACTTCTTCTTCTTCTTTTTCTCAACATCAATTGCATACGACTTATGGTAACTCTCCGTAATCATTAGAGGTGGCGCTACTTATGCGCATCAATTGACTTTTGCATTGGCTCTTATGTACTGTGCGTGCCTTTTGATATGAATGTTTCATCTGAAGTAAACCACCCACACACACGTTTGAAATTCATAATGATTTTATCGCATTCAATATATTGACACGATGGATGTACTGTACTCGCAGGTAGCTGGCTCACATTCCAATTACAATATTCAAATATTTGACGAAGGCTGCAATAGTATCGTATCGATTGATTTGGATTGAGAAAAATAGAATGACGAAAATTAGAATATTTTAATACACATTTGAGGATGCATACGTACGTACATACGTACGAGAGAGAGAGAGAGAGAGAGAGAGAGAGAGAGAGAGAGAGAGAGAGAGTAATATCAATCGAATTTGAAACATCAAATCGAAATTCTGCAATAACATAGAGTTGAATCGACGACGCATTCGATCGATCCACATGAGATGTGCAAAAATAGAAATTAATTTCGGATATGCGAAATATTTTTTATTCCATTCAGACCATATTCAATCCAAATGGATTTCTATATTGAAATAGATTGAACGATTCGTTCAAACCACGTACCAATTCGAATTCAACTAAAGCTCAATATTCACAATATTATTTATTGAACCATTAAATGTGCGCTGACGTTCCCGATCCGAATAAACTGGATACATAGAACACTCGCAGAAAGACGAGACACACACACACACACCGGCACAGCTCAAAATTCGTATCTTTTCATTGTATGTTGTTACATTTGCAACTGTGCAATCTCAAACATGGATTCGTTTCCATTTTCAGGCCGACTCAACGCTGCTGTGACGCACCAAACACTTCAGTTATTATGTAAATTTAATTTCATTTCAAATTTAAACGGCAAACACTTTCTCTCACTGACAATTTAGATCGTGACAATAAAATTATTCTGTTCGAAAATTAAACGACACCATTTGCGAATTAATATTTTGGATTTAATTTCCTCTTAGCATTTAGATGTTATGAGATTTGCATGTCGTTTTCTGGTTGTTATTTTTCTTTTCTTTTCCTTCTTCATCTGTGTATCTGTGGTGGTAAACTTGATTAGCCCACTTTTTGTTTGCTAAAATGGTCAGCTAAATGGCTTCTTACGGGTTCGAACTTAACATTTAACTTTATGCACTCTGGATGGTGTGATAATATCGAATCGTTACATGCTGCACAAGGCACATGCATATATGCATCGGAATCATTCCGGACATCTACATGAACGATGCCGTTAGAAGTTGAAGTGCTCTAAATTTGCTGTCTATGCTGATTGCGACACAGCTTAATTGCATGTATTTTGATGTTTGTATGCCTCCTCATACAGTGCACACCGGCATTATGTTTTTCATCGTAGTTGACCGTTGAGTGGCCGTACCAAACCGAAGAATGGCAGAAAATGGCATCTGCAAAAGTCTCAAACCACACACACACTTGACTTCGACAATAAGTTTTATCGTAAATTTTTCGTGTGCTCCATATAATTTGAATCTTTCTGTATCCGTTGCCAATTCAGTTTCATTGCAATGTCGTAACAATAATAATTATGTCGAAAACACCATATCCAAAATGTGCATGTATTTTGTTTTAGCTTCAACTCACTTTGCGTCGCACTGCGAATGTGTCGCTATGCTGTCGGGCTAGGAAATATGCTATTTGGTTAACAGAAACTTATGCGCCCATTATTTGTTGTCATTTCTTTGCTCGGGCAATGGAAAAAGATGCAGAAAATTTATGGCTAGTTTTGGGCTTTGTCAGCATTTCACAGTGTGACCTGTGTGTCTTTGTCTCTCTCACTCTCCCTCTCTGTATGCATGTTTGCCATTATGTATGTGGAATATACGACAGGCCATCGTGCCATTATCTAAAAGTATTTAACATTGTACGGATGTACCGCTAGCAAAGTTAACAGACTAAAACGGCAATATGCAGATGGAATTGGTGCACAAGATCAATGTTATCATCATAAGCGTCGTTCCTGGGATATGGCGAACACGAACATAATGTGGAAAAGATGTTTTTGCCTTTGTTCTCATCATATGCATGGAAAATTGCATTCGGTGACGCCACAATTTTCCCCTGGTTGATATCGTTCGGTCATCATATTGAATGCCCATCCTTGCATCGGACCAAGTGATCTTTAATGAAAGAACTTTACCGTGCGGTTTTGATGCAGACGCGTATCAGCTTGGACAAACATGCAAATACCAAAATCCAGCCTATTCCTTGCGGTTTCACACACACAATGGTAGGTATGTGCTTGAATCAAAATGCGGCACAGTAATTTATGTTTAAACAAGATTCAAAACCAAACATTTTCTTTTGCAAATAATAAATGGCCGGAAGCAGAGAGAGAGCGGGAGAGATTTTATCATTTTGCCACACTTTGGAAAACATCCATTACTTTGTGCGTTTGACATGAAAGGGTGTTGCAAATACTGATACTGTTTTATTTGTGTTTCGGCATACGTTCCACCTTCTCGTTGTGTGGCCACATTTTGCCATCCGTTTTTATTTTATTTAAGCTTATATCGTACGTGTCAAACCGCCATGACCAAAAATGAAACTGGAAATTTCAAAGTATGTAGGATATGTATGGTTACACATTCGTGCATGAGTTCCGTAAATCCAAATGCCACACATTACTATCGACAATTAGATTTCCGTTGGCCCATAAAAGCGTTTGTAGAAAATCCCATTGAAATCCGTCTCATCGAGAATCCACATTTAAAACTGTGCACTTACCGTACTCACGACCTGTACATTGATTCACAACCACATTTTACGGGTTTGCTAAGTATATTACTTTCAGACGGGAGGTTAGTGTGAAAATGGAAAAGATTGTGGAAAGACTGAAAACATGAACATCATCACATGTTAAAGAAAACTCCGCCTTCTTGCGTGCATGTGCAACAAGCTTTTTATTTTTACACTAGAAACAAAAACATTTAAATTGGTTTTATTCGAACCAGAATATGTTGATTTTCTTTAAAATCATCGCATCTATCCAAACATTGTAATGAGCAGCATTGTAAAATTGTAAATTCGTTTGGTCAACTGAAAGAGAGTCGGCTCTTCGAAGTAAACTGAATGAATATTCATGGGAAAATAAACCTACGGTAGCTCCAGTACCAAAATCAATGACACCTAACGGTCCAATTGTCAAAACAGGTCCATTTTGCAGTCGATGAATGGCAGCGCTCACATGCTTCTGATTTGTTGCAGTCAACAAATACCATGGCATATCATACAACTCCATCGCAACGTTTTCAATCTACAAATGAATAGAATCGTAGAGGAAAAAAGAAAATGTTTTCAAAATAAAATTTACCGAATTTTTCACATTATTCCCCATGTTGCACATGATCAGTATTTGAACGTAGCAGCACAATGCGATTCCATATCCTGCTGGAAATTTGAGCTGCAAGAAATTTCGTTAGTTTAAACCGTTGGACGAAAAACTTTGAATTGAATTACAACAAATTGAGCAAAAATCGATAAACTGATTGAAAAGGTCCAGAGGAATGGTGCTTCAAATAATTTGACATAGTAAACGTCGACCACATCCAAAAGGTATCTAAAAGAGCATGAAAGAAATCCCGTGCAATCAGAAATTTTGAAATGAAACAATCTGTAACGGACCTATCGAGATCTTGCGCTTGAATCAATACGTTACGCAAACGAATGTGAACCCTCAAACGGGAGTGCTCCTTTTGTACTCCGTCGGCAAGCTGCTTTAAATTGAGCCAAATTAATTCAGGAACCGAGTTGACAGTGTCAATAATTAAGCATGTTATTATCTCAACAGTTAAATTGCCGGTAATTGAATATAGTGCAATGACACACTGTTGAGCAAGACTCCACAGGAACTCAGTACTGGAATCTTTTTCCAGAAAAGGTAAATGTGTGGCCAATGGTGTGATGTACATATCTTTGAAAATATACGCATAGATTGGCCCAACGAGAATAAGTAAATGCGCAAAAATGACAATTACACTGACTGACACAACATTTTTGATAAGTTTCGTGACGTTTTTTTCACAGATTCTATTATATTCGGTTGATTCCTTATCGTCGGCGTAGATAAATTTACCAGAAAAAGTGGCTAAACTATTTATTTTGAAGCGGTGCGGCCCGATGTTTTTCCAGTACATCACGAGGCTCTAACGAAAGAAAAACAATTGCGTTTTGATAAAAAATGTATGTAATTGCTAACAAAAACAATAATTGAACGCACAGTGATCGCATGGCCAATGAGACAAGTACACTCAATGCCCCTTAAGTAATCGTCCTTTTTGATAAGCACGTAATATTGAATGGTATAAATCAATGTTATGAAATAGAATAATGCCATTACTCCACACGATGCCGTGTACCAATAATTCTTCATGTCGTTAAGTACTCGTACGCCAGTTGTTTGACATAGTTTATCAGCACAATTGTAAGTAAACTGCCACTTTTGCTTTGGAGTTTTTGCCAACCATTTTTCTTTGAGTTGCTGCTCTATTTTTTTCAAATATCGCAACATGACTGCTTTTTGATCCAAATATTAACTGAACTGAGTAATCCGTTTCGCGAGCTATTTATACTCACGGAAATATTAAAAATTCAGTTTGGCTCGCGTACCAAAACAATAATGATCAACACGCACATGTATAATGATGGGAATTCGAAAAAATGCCATCCCATAGACTGGACCAACATAATTTTTTTCTGACTTGGGTGTTTCCCAGCGTTGGTTTGATGTTTGCTTCTTTTAAGATCATTACTCCACTGTCCGATGTACGGTTGGTTACAACCTGTGCACAGTGCTGCATAAATACCAGATTTATTCAGCTCCACTACAAGCCATTTCATTCAAAAAACATACGGCAAATCAACACCAGCCGATCATATGTTGCAAAACAATCATGATTTTGCGAGTTTCCGTTTGTTAAAAAAGGTCAATAACCCAAGGAAATTGGATGCTTATGAAAATTTGTATATTTACAAAACGAAGCGTTCAAATATGAACATCCAAAGAACGCAAGTTGAAACATCTTTATATAAATTTTCAAAACCATTGGGTACTGAAGACATTTTCAACAAAAAATCGCATGTTTACACTCATTAGCCGTGATTTGAATGTCATTTGAAATGTAAATACACGAGAATTTTGATTTTAGCAACCATTGTGACAATTATTGTATTCAGTTTAGTTTTCTAACTCGCCTGAGGATGGTGGAATGTCCACCGAAAACGTTGGCGGAAATATAATTTTTCGTTATTTGTACCAGAATAAGAATGAATAAATAAAAATTCATACGTTATTAATAATTTACTACAAAAAAAAATATGAATTCTGACTGCACACTATGACCTTGAAATCTGAATTCTAATGACCGTTTGGATTTCACCAAGAATATTCGTATGATTTTTGTGTGCTTTGTCAATGGAAAAGAATACAAAATAAGACCGTTCTTGGTTTTTTTTAATGAAATACATGAGAAAAGTTCAGAATTCAGTAAACTCTTGCCGCTCTTTCTAAAAAAAACTTTGTTTTTATTTGCGTATTCTATTCAAATTTTCAAAAAAAATAATGATGAAAACTTTAACTTCACCGCAAAACTTGCACTTAGAGCTGGAAGCCATCAGAATGGAAAGAAAGTCGGTGCAGCCTAGTAATTCTCGATCAAAAGTGCAATGTAAATTATTAACAATTCGTGCTTTGATTTAAAAAAATGTTTGTTTCATGAAAACGAGCGATCAATTGAGTATATTTTTCCGTGCAAAGTAAACCGAAACGATAAAATATTCATGAAAACACATTCTTTTTCTACGAAATATTTCAATAATTATTCTTTTGATGCAAACTTCCCTTCACATGGCCTTGTTCATGGTTCAAAAATGACTTTTCCCTTGTTTAACATTACGCGAAATAAAGTACTTTGGACTTTTATACATTTTTAATATGAAACTCATTTTTCAGAATTTAAAAACCAAAACAAAAACAAAAAATGCAAAGAATTCTAAATTTCGAATATTTTATCCTTCTTTTTTAATTGTTGTAGGTGTTCAACTCACGTAGCACATGATGATTGAACGTAGCAGCACATGCATATTCAGCTGGAAAATTAAGCGAATTTTAAATATTTGTTTGTATTTACAATAAGCTGAACAAAACACACGATAAACCTATCGAAAATATGAACATACAAATATGGTCCTGCAAACACATCTTATGCCCAGAAAAACATGAATTGATTTGATGAATTTTTAATTATTTCATTTTGTAAGCAGTCACTCAACATCTCAACAAGTTCCTGAACTTTCGATAAGTCCACTTGAGTCAATCTAAACCGTAAAAAAATCATCGGTGCAACGGTTATTGTCATATTTCCAAGCAGAATTTTAATGCAATTCTCGCGAGTATTGTTATATACGTTCAAATGTTTATTTAGTTGGGAATTCAAAACAACAACTAGAAGACAAGTACATTCCATACTACCCTATATATTTTTCCTTCAGTTACTGCTTTTATTATTTTCCTTTGAAGAACATGACTGCTTTGATTTAAAAAAAATCGACAAAACAAGGGAATCATTTGGCATAGTTTTTATGCTAGTATAATTGTTATTCATAACCATTCTTCGTACATAAAATATTGAGAATTTGAAAAAAGCGTTCACAATTAAATCTAAATTATTTTGTACACATTTTACTTTGAGCTCTTTATTTAAGTTAGATATTAACAATCAACGCAGTATAGAATGTGATATTATATTTGAAATGATCTGAGCAACAATCGATAAACTTATGGAAAACGTAAACGAAAATGCTTTTATCGCAGTAACGAACAATTATTTCGCAAACCATCAATATAGGTTTTCATGCTAACATGAAAATAATATTTGATGAAAATGAACATCCGAACACAACAATCAAAGCAGAAAATATATCAAATCCGAATAAACTGTTGAAGATTTCAAAGTTAATCTATATTAAAATGACTCCTGCGATAATGTTTGAAAGAACGAAGTATTTTTTTCAAAGAACGTGGTTTTGTCTTTGTGTTTTTTTCCTCCCTGAATCTATGTTGTTCTTCATTTTTTAATGCATACCAAAATGGAAAGTATAATAAAATTTACATTTTTGTGAATTAAAGCCAGGGAGTGTAACTCCGAGGAGGAGGAATGGTGAGGAGGTGAATGAGGAGGAGGAGAGCGCTGAGGAGGTCCCTCCTCCTCACATGAGGAGGAAATAAAAATTACCAAAATTGAGGCATATAAATTTATTTTAAACACTTTTATTGATTTGGAACGAATGCCAACGATGAAAAAACTACGGTCAACATCAATAGAAGTGTTTAAAATAAATTTATATGCCTCAATTTTGGTAATTTTTATTTCCTCCTCATGTGAGGAGGAGGAACCTCCTCAGCGCTCTCCTCCTCCTCATTCACCTCCTCACAATTCCTCCTCCTCGGAGTTACACTCCCTGATTAAAGCCAATCAAATTTATTGGCCACAATCAAGGTGCTACAAAGAGAGGACTTGTATACCTGGTTAAAATGCATTTAGTTTGCACATAAAGATAAACCTCGGAATAATTTGGTCGTAATTTTGTTGTAATGGCCGATGATTTCGTTAGGCATTTGCCTATCACATTTGATGCGATCTTTATTTGTTTAATTATATTTCCATTTCGCTAAGGGGTGGTGTCATGGCATTGAGCCACTTTTGCTCGCGCATTCATCGAGATGAAAGTGAAATTTTAGGTTTTCCACATTTCATTCACTTCATAAAAAACGCAGAGTTTAAAGCATCGCATTTTTTTTTGTTCAAAAACCCATTTGAATTTTTGATAGCTCATTTTACATGCCCGTAAATCTGAAACTGAATTTTCATTAAGCTCGACTATTTGCCAGTTGCGCGCAAAATGGACGATACAAACGCCGGTAGGCATTTATGAATAAAACATTTGCTGCGAAATTTATTGAATCCATTCGAAGCGAATGCATTAAAATGATGACAATTTGCAAAAGTGTTATGCAAAAAGTTAAATTGAAATGAATTAATTTGAATGATATTTATTTAATGAATGAAAATTGAATCTCGTTGGTTTTTTTTTCATGTTTATACATTTTAAATTCAATAGTGTCACTTTTTTCATTTTTTGCAGTTTTTTTGTACTGAATAAGTGTGTGAAGACATGGGACACAAGAGAGAATCAGTGAAAATATCATCATTTACTCAATTTTCCTGGAAATACCGTATTAAAAGTCATTGTGGAGTGAACGATATGCTCATATCGAGTTATAATTTTCAACTGTATCATACAAAAATCGTGGTATGAAACTGAGTTGGTTGCGTTCCCACAGAGAAGCGCACAATAAGATGTTATTGTCACAATAATTTAACGAGTGGTGTATCAGTCGTACGCATATACAGCATTGCGTGCGACTGATCAAGTAGCCATTGCACCGTTATGTAAGACGACTCGTGCGGATGAGTGTAAGAACGAGCGAGTGACACACCCCTCATTACCTTATTGTGACAATAACATCTTATTGTGCGCTTCTCTGTCAGTTTGCTTGAAATTTCTGTTCAATTTGTACCAGTCATATGGGCCTCTTACACAATAGATTAAAAATCTTCCTTTACAATATCATATCGTATTCATTTCGCAATAAGTGAAACTTCCATATGTTCTTTTGTTTTTATTTTTTCAACATTCAGAGCTTCCTAGACTGAAATAACATTCAGAGCTTCCTAGACTAAAATAAGAACTAAGAAGGCCCAATACCGAACAGAGTTCTCAAGCCCGACCGATGATACCGTCCAACTGACGAATCTGCATTCGAAAACTCTTTGAAATTAGTCACCATTTCTCAGAAAGAAATTCATATTCCGCTCACAACATACTTTTCGAAGGTTCAGAAAGTTTTTCGTCATTCAGTTCACGTACAGAGTTACGTATTTGCTATAATTAAATCGGCGAAGGAAAATCTAGTTTCTCATCCCAAAGCAAACATATGTAAATGATATGAAGTAAGTTTTGTGGAGTGTAGCTCACTCTGTGTGTATATTGAAATGGACTTTATTGACCAATGGCCAGTATGCTGTTGGCAAAGGAGCAAATTGTGCGGCTTTTAGTTTTGCCTTCGATCTACCTAATAATAGAAAGTTCTACAGATATACTTTGTGCATTGCGGACATGGGTTCTGAAGAGAGTACCGTGTTTACACATTCGAAATAACGAGGCACCCGAAATGTTCTACGAAATATTCATTCGTTTGAACATGGTTGATACAAGTGGGATAAGAACTTTTTGCTTGCCAATTTTGGTCGTATTCGATCAACTTAAATTGACCGTGAATGCAATTTTATGACCTCATGAACCAACTTACCT